CTGATTGCTGTTTCCGGCTTAGTTTACGAGAAAATACACAAGGTAATGTTAATCCCTGGATGTAAAACAATGCCTAGCAGAACAATAAATGCAATTTAAACGGTAAATCAACATGGCTGGTGATTTTTTATCTTAAATGTCAAATTTGTACTGACCAAGTTCCTCATCACCCGTTCGTTTACCAGAATTCACTGAAGGGGTAATGGTGTAATTTTTTTCTGCGCATAATAATAGATTATTTTTTTTCCCCAAAATACTGAATCTGCTAGAGGGGGTGCACATTATACTTGGGTGCACACTATACTCAATAAAATACAGTAGCGTGTAAAGTTTGGAAATCACATGCAGCATATTGTGATAAGAACAAAGATATACCGAGGTTACACTTGACTGATTGTTAGTTTTGTCATTAATTGGTCTCTTTATAATTTATTACTTTATTCTCAAATCAGCCAATAATTAACATGCACAACACACGGTTGCCTTATTATGACTAGAATATTTCTGGATTATTGACAACATGGGTGAATGAGTGAGTGCTGCACTTCCATCACTTCCGTCTTGACGTGTTAATCCAGTGATTGACATCATGAGCATCGATCTACACATTTGGAATACGATGACATTCATCAACCAGGAAAAGGTCATTTCTGGATAAGTGAGTGAGTGAGTGAGTGAGTGAGTGAGTGAGTCTGTAAATGTTCAAGACAGGGCAAACAAACCAGTGGTTAATATTATGAAAAAAGTCCTCCACTGAGCCTGACCACCTGATCCAATTGAGTCGGCTCACCAGCAAGCTACAATACTTGGCTTGTTTTGAGTTTGTTTGTTTGTTGTTTGACGGCGCACTCAGCAATATTATAGCTATTTGACAGCAGTCTGTAAATAATCGAGTCTGGATTAAACAATCCAGTGATTGAAATCATGAGCATCGATCAACATAATTGGGATACGATGACATGCATCAACAAAGTCAGTGGGCCTGATAACCCGATTTCGTAAGTCGCCCCTTACAACAAGCATAGGTTGCTGAAGCTCAATTCTAACCCAGATCTTCACAGTCTCGACCTGTTGTAACCTGCACAACATTATAAAGGTCATAAGAATGTGTGATAAGGGCTAAGTAACAAAAGCTTTGGTACAACAAAACAGCATGCATATTTCATAATGACAGAAAGGGGAAAGTATCTGACAAATGTTAAATTTCAGGTCTCAAAGTTGCGACTAAAACGGTCGCCAATGGGACCTACATTTCAATTTGTCTACTAAAATTCAGAGGTCGCCAAATGACTACCTTGAAAAATATTTTGTGGCGACTAAATTACATTCCTTCACATACGTAGACACATAAATAAATTGATTAACATTTGCGACGCCATTTTCTTGATTGCCAGCGTTTTCACGGTCGCAATGGAGCACATATACAATACTCATTGTTTGTTTCATTAACATTCCCATAGCTCAATACAGCATTACGGGGGATTCAGTCACGTAAACTCTTTCAACACTGTAGGCCAGTACACCGGCCAAGAAGCCTCGAGTCCCCAGACACCGTAAGCCGGTAGTCACGTCAAAATAGTACATAATTTTATTAACCTACATGTCATATCATTCATTTATTAAATCTAACACATTTCACAATGTCTGAAATATGTATTTCAATTTATAATTTTTTATCGATTGATTAAAAAATTATTCACTAGATCTATTTCCCGCAATGTTATTGAAAAAAGAAATCTCGGACAAACACTTCAACAACGGGTCCACATCGAACATGTCAAAGAGCAAAATAGAGATGTTTTTAGCAAATCTTTAAAAATATTATACAAAGTAAAAAATACAATGAACAAAAATATTTCTAAAAGTTGTCAAACTTATATCGAAGTTATTATTTCCATCTTTTTGTGCAATCACGTGTTATGCAAGTCAAATGACATCTCGGCTTTCGTCGCCTTGCTCGGACACAATGTTTAATGCAAAAATATTTGCCTGAAAAATCTTTGTCCCAGCTCGTAACCTAGCATGATACATCCATGAAGTTCCATATCTTTAACATAGATTGCGATTTCCTGCTTAAAAACGTTAGGAATAGCAAGATTTAACAAATATCTTTCGTCAAAATCTAAATTTCATCACACACACATGCTCAAATTTGACCAATCACAAACCTTGTAGCAGATTTTGACAAGAAAACGTCAAGTGGAAACCAATTTTTATCCAATAAAATTCTATGTTAGTATTCCTACAGACACGAAAAGACTAGATAAAAAAACAAGCTTTCTAGCGGTGTGTCATATGAGAGTCTTCGATGAACGTGTTATTCATACGAAGTTTCGAAAACGGAGGTGTTTCTTCATGTTACTTAGCGCCTTTTGCGGGAAATAAATTGTTGCATTGTTGCTAATTTAACAATATTCATTGCATAATGAAATGGTAACACCATTTAAACACCAGTATCTGCTTTTAATGTCTTATCACTTTGAATATATTCAGTTACGATCTAAACACACATTGTCGAAAGACCTATAGAAATCTGTTAATGACAGATTGTTGTCTCCTGCATGGCAACAAAAAGTACAGCAGATCATGGTAAAAAGACGTCTGGTAATGTAATTCGACATCATAAGACATCATTCGAGTCACACAAAAAAAAAATCAAGTACACTAATATACAATTTCAAGCCTAGTGCTATGACTTGTACATATTATAATAGTTATTTGATAAAAGATAATTTCAAATGGCTACCTAAAATTTTGGCTTGTCTTGTTGATTTTACCACTGGCTTCCTGGAAAAAAATACTGGTTGCCATATGGCTACTAGTTCAAAAATTAAACTTTGAGGCCTGCATTTTCACTATGGCAGCGTTGAGTAGAAATTAAAACTGTCAGAATTTTATGAGCAAATTTTATGAAACACCATTGTAGGGTTCATACACACACGATTTTAGCTTCGCTAGCCATTTCAGAAAAGAAGTAAACAATGTATCAATGTACACAGGGGTATATGAAGGTTATGGGCCATCGTAGGGTCAAAAATTAAAATATGTCCAAAAGGGTATTACATGCTATTCCACATGCCTGCCTGTGTGTATTATTTTCTTGCAAAAACTGGTAGAAATATCATTCCAAACCTTTAATAAAACCATAATCCATACTTTTCAATTTAAGGTTAGTGAAAAAGAAATATATAAACACTGAAAAAATGTCAAAATTTAAATACAAAGGATGATAGCTCTCAGTCTTGCATGTTGAGGAGCACAGATTAATCATGTTTGAAAAGAATTGGATTCTCAATCTGGTTGACAAAACTATCATATGCCTCAAACAGTTACATGAGATAATGACTGAACGTAAATACAACTCTCAGGTCGCTGAGGATTCAATTTGTTTGAACAAAAGTGTTTTCTTTTCTCCCAGTCCTACTTTTGCTTATTATGTAAAGCCAAATGACATACAGGTATTCAAATGAGACAGGTCACCTGGTGATGAATGTAAAGGTTATGTTATTAGCAAATTTAGCACAGCCAAAGATGTGATTACAGTAGGCAATTACACTTGCATGGATTAGCACTGTATTGTCCTGTGATAAGGTCAGGAGAAGCCAGCATTGCCAGAGTAACTTAAATTCAAAACTTTGCTGTCATGTGTGATGTATGAATAGCAACTGCACTGCTTATTCGAAATCCCCAATGGGGATTCCAGGTTAGAACTGGTCCCCAGCAACAGAACGTAAGGGTGGTCACACTCGGTGACTTGGTTGTGTGTAATTGTACTCCGACTGCGAGGATCACTGCTCACAACTGGACTTGATCATAGGTCATTGCTCATAATTCAACCACTGGTGCGTCTGGTCCCAATTAGATATTGTACAGGCCATCATGAAAGCTTGAATGTTGAAAGACAATGAATATATTCGACCTTGCTGTCAAGCAGCGGTACTGTTTTGTTGAGGAGTCTTGATATATTACGTATCCCGATACTTTGGCTGCAATACGATTCATATCCCGGTAAAGTACTTGTATTTTATAAGTTGATGTTCTTTCTTTTTGCAGGTGAATCACAACCTTGAAGCATTTGGTTTAAACTTTAGAGATCAAAGATGCTATATTGAATGGCAGAAACACATAGGCTAGATGGTACTGTGAATTTTATGCTATTTATAGCCAGACGGGAAATACTTGAGAATCTGCATAAACTGCTTGTTGAACAGTTTAGTTTAGCAAATGTCAATACAAGTGATTCCATTAAAAGTCAATACAAGTAAACCGTCACATTTCGCTGGCCTGTGGCAGAGGTTCTTGGCCGGCCACAACAGACTCTGGGTTTGATTGGTTGGTTTGTTGTTAAAAAGCCGCACTCAGCAATATTCCAACTATATGACAGCAGTCTGGAAATAATCGAGTCTGGACCAGACAATCCAGTGATTAATATCATGAGCATCCATCCATGCATTTGGGATCAATGACATCATCAACCAAGTCAGCGAGCCTGACCACCCGATCCTGTTAGTCGCCTTTTACGACAAGCCTGGGTTGCTGAAGACCTATTCTCCCCCGGATTTTCACGGGTCTCTGGGTTGGAGAGTGCCTTGGTGAGTAATTGGTTGCCTACTGAACGTTGTTCACGAGACGACCCCTCCTGTTATCAAAACATGTGTAATCCCTCAACGGATGCTGCAGTTGATGTGACGCCCCCTAACTCCACATGCACACATCAAACTCCACAGCAAACGGAATGCCTAATGTCCCAAACCAAGGTGTTCACACTACTTCAGTTTGTTCAGGGATGAGAAGGGATATTTTCCTTTTCAACTGAAATGTCTTTCCAATGGAGCCTGGTCCATAATTTGGAGGTGTTTATAGGGGGTTCATCAGAATTTAACAAATTTGTGTTCTATAAACTTTGCGGAAATTTGGGATCTGCGGATCCTCAGAAGATTCTCATCCCTGTTTGTTAAGCATACAATTTAGGTCATAGCAAAAATACCGAAATATCTTACCTTTCTTTCTTAATTTTTTTATCAGGTGTTTCTTGTTCTTTTTTAACATCAGACTTTGTTACTTCTTTTTTAACATCAGACTTTGATTCTTCTTTTTCTTCAACCTTAACAGGCTTTCTTGGAGCTGTGAACACAAATGGATCAATTTACCTGTTATCTTCAGCATTTGGGGGAATATTCCAAGAACACATCTCAGTCAGACTCTGTCTTAATTACATCAACAAAACAAATGATACTGCAAGCTTCCTAAAATCTTCCCAATGAGGTTTCAAATCAAGGAGTGCAGAGTTACTTCCCTTTTACCCTCCCTGTTTGCTCAGAAATAATTAAACAAATGCACTTCAGGCAAGACAAAAACCAAACAATTGCATTGATAATTATACAATTATTAGTGCTCACCAAAAAAGCTGTGAACAGGTTTTTTCTCCTCTTTCTTCTCATTCTCTTTCAATTCTTCCTTTTCACTGTCTTTCTCTTCTTCCTTTTCATTATCTTTGTCTTTCACTTCTTTCTTTTCTTCTTTCGTTAGATTCTTCTTGCTGTTTGCTTTTGGTGATTTCTTACCAGTTGTCTTCTTGGTAGCTGTAAGGGCAATCAAAAAACGTTGAGGTTTACCTTTTTTTTATATTCCGGGCAAGTTTATATGTAACCAGCTTTAGAGGCGACGAAATGGATTGGGTGGTCAGACTCGGTGACTTGGTGGATTGCATGTCATTGTATATCAGTTGCGTGCGTTGATGCTCATGTCAATCACAGCATTGTCTGGTCCAGACTCAATTATTTACAGTCATATAGCTAGAATATTGCTGAAGACGATGTTAAACAACAAGGAAACAAAAGCATGGGTATTATATACAACAGAATTATGAAGGAATGATGTGCACCAGAACATGGATGTGATACATAATCAGGCAGATGCACAACTAGGAAAAAGAGTAGATTTCCCTACCCGGAGATTTTCCTTTCTTTCCCTTGCTTTCCTTCTTTCCCTTGCTTTCCTTCTTTTCCTTGGAGTCTTTTCTCTTATCAGTGCTGTCTTCCTGTTCCTCCGACATGCTAACATCTTGCTCCTTGTCATCCTTTGGCTCATCCTTTGCTTCAGTGTCTTCGTCTTTATCTTTTGATTCAGGACTGTTTTCTTCAGAGCTTAGTTCCTGAAATCATCACAAGTAGACATGTTTTTATATATTGGTTTTCTTTTAATTCTTTTGAATACTGATGATTGTATTTACATAAGTTGTACATTTATATAGTTATCCTATCTTACACTATGCATTTCTCTTTTTTCTTTCGATTCTGAGTGAAATTGTGTCTGAAATAAAGGTTTCCAGGTTCTGAAGTAATTAATCCCTAAATACATCACCATGGTCACCTGCCAGATCTCGGTCATGCACGCTATGCATACTGGTTGACCTACTTCCGCTGATCACGTGTCTATCCCAGTCAATTATTTCTCTTTCAAGAGCATAAAGACTTAGGAATTACGATGCGGGGATGGACAGGTGGGCATATAAAGTGTGAGATAGGATATAAGTATATAAATATACAATTTATCATACAATTTATCATACAATTTATCATAAAATTTACAAATTCTTAAACTTATCCTATCTCACATTATGCCTTTTATCCCAGTTGGATGGTGGGGCGCAACTCGTCAAAAGATCACAGTCGTGGGATATTTACAAGAAGGCTGGAACTTGACAGTGGTACAATACTTAATACAGTAACACAGTTAAGTGTCTTAAGACAAAAACCTTGTTGACAGGATAATTAAAAAACACTCTAAAAAAATGTTGAGATCCTGAACCATGAATAACTGAAAAACACAATAAGTCGGGTACAATATGTGTAACGTTCAAACGTAAAGACGCGTAATGGTATGTCTAAAAACAAACAAGTACGTCTTATATTCGAGAAGGGATGTATCAGTCTGTTGATTCTACAAGGCGGGGTATTCCTATCTCCAGAGGACGATAGGTTGGGCCCGCTTGGCATCTCTTTTATTGCTACGTCAAACCCTCAATCATGCTCAGTGATTAACAATTGACAATAACCACGAAAGGATCATCGATCCATTACTCAACACACATACCTAAAGTAGAGGTCTGTGAAATATAGGTTCGGGACACAAAGATCGGCCGTGTCTAATGACCACTTCAAGTTGAAGACCAATGTCTCTACAAATGATTGATAATATCCTCCAAATAGATACTCAGTCTGGGAAACCCGAATGAATACAATCAACACAAATAATCATGACAAAGGTTTATTATAAATGGAGATGGATGTAAAGTAACGAAACTGGTTTTATATTCTTTATCTGCGCAGATGTGTTTTAGAGACCTGTTGTGCGAGTACCAAGGGTCCAAACTGTGAAGGCCTTGAACATCTGTCACTGATATGTCTCCAAGGTAATGGGATGTGAATAAGGTGAGGTGAGGTGAGGTGAAATTGGGTTTAACGTCGCGTCCAAGATTATTGCACTTATATAGCGACGTGCATGCACGTGTATGTGTGTGTGTGGCTGCTTGTACTAGTCCGGACTGATGCCGATTTATAGTGCTAGCTCACTGAGATACCATGCCGCAGTTTAACATGAATACCCCACTCAGACACAGTTTACTGACTCTGAGCCGACCAGTCCTTGTTTTAGCCCCTTAATGCCGAGCGCCAGACAGGGTAACAACAAGTACAATCTTTTAACGTCTTTTTGTATGACGCGGCCTGGGATCGAACCCTGGACCTTCCGCTCTCAGGGCGGACGCTCTACCACAAGACCATGGAGGCGTTCCTGTGAATAAGGTAGATTCGAAGTGCGGGTACGAGACACAAGGCGTGAATTTCACTCACTCAAGCCACCGTTGCAAGGGCCAGAAGGAAAACTAGGAAACTTCAAGGAAATGTGTTTGAAATCTTTCTCAGGCCAAAGGTTCAAACTCGGACGAAGTTAGATGACTAAGTATGATGTTCAAATCCCAAGTTGGTTGTCAAAAACATGTTGTTTGGTCCAACAACTTATATGATCAGATCAATGATTGTAATTTGGCGATTGTAGAAATCTTAGTGCCTGTTGTAGTACAAGCAGCTAAGTGAATTCATTGCAGCTAAGTAGGTAGCTCTAGTCGAACCTTTCCTTTTAAGAGAAGATCGAAGATAGTGAAGGTATTCAGCAATTTGTTGCGGGGATGCCATGGCACGGGAAGTGATGTCATGTGAACGACAATACAATTCAAATGCCTTCCATATATGGTCATACAGTGCTTTCAGAGATAATCTGTGAGCCCCTGCAATGGTCTTGGCCACTCGTACAGAATAACCTTTAGATATCAATGATTTCTGTAAATGCGCCAATGCATAGATTGAAGGTTGTTGGAGAGTGATGTTGAAGAAGAGGATCGTCCCTTAGAGGTAGATGGTGTAAAATCTTCTCTCTGCAAGTGGGATGAGCATTGTGTACCAACTTCATGTTGGCCATTATGGCGCGACCAAAAGCAGTATGTTATCTTCTGTAGAACCCGATGTACAATGCCGGTTGGGGGAAACGCATAAGCATGTAGTCCTTCCCATTGGAATGCTAATGCATTGAGGTCCCAGGCTAGAAGGTCTGGGATTTAAGATACGAACCGGGAGGGCTGAGTTGCGAAGAGGTCGACATGGAGCACAGAAATAACTTGCAAATCCACTGAAAAATCATGGGATGTAGTCGCCATTCCGTTGGGGGGTGTTTTTCTGGTTTGGATAGAAAGTCGGCTATGACAATGGAGATGCCGGGAATATGTCTTGCCTGAACTTGAATGTTGAGCGAGTCGATCAGTTGGAAGAAGTCAAGCGCTAGAGATAGTAGTGACGCTGACATGGCAGATCCCATCTTGTTCATGTACAACACGACTGATAGGTTGTCTTACTGAATCATTAGTGTAGAGGACTAAAGGAGTGTCGACCAATGAAACGCTGCTACAATCACCGCTTTGAATTCTAGATTATTGCAGTAACCTGGCTGTCTTCTAGTCACCACCGCCTTGATACTTGTAGTTCTTGACAATGAGCTCCCCATCCCACAGTTGAGGCATCGACGAAATAGGTGGAAGGTCAGGGTGAATGGCTGCAAGGAAACTCCTTCGCAGACATTTGGTTGTAGGTGGTTCAGAAGAGAGATTAGGACAATCGTCGTCCTGAAGGAAGGGCTTGAGGAAGCACTGGATTGGCTGAAGTGAAATTGACCTCTTGTGCTGATGTTAGAACACCGAGAAGTTGTTGCCATTGACGTAAGGGAAGTGGCTGCCTGAGTGCCAATGGAACGAGGCGTTTGATTTTCTCACAACCATCTTGGGGTAAAAACATCTTGCCCAGACTTGTGTCGAAGATGAACTAGAGACATTGTGTTGGAATCGTTTCGGACTTCTAGGTGTTCATGATCCACCCTAGTTGGTGAAGCAGGCATTGAGAAATATCGAGGCGACTAAGGAAAGTGTTCATATCCTTGTTGACTTAAATGCAGTTGTCGATGTTTCATAGATGATACCTCGAGAGTGTAGAAACTTGATGATGGGTTTTGTTAGGTGAGTAAATAGCCACAGGGCCATAAAAATTCCAAATGGGAGCACTCGCCATTGGTAGTGTTGGCACACAAACCGAAGAAAAATAGCAGTGCTCTCTCATGGTGAGTAGGTGAAGTAGACCTGTGCCTTGGTCCGAAATCCGGGTGGGTGAACGAAGGAGAAGATCTAGACATGTAGGATGAATGACAAATAGAATCGTAATATTCATCCTCCAAGCCTAGACATGACGAGTCTGAATAGTCTCTGCGTGAGACATGATAAGGGGATTAGCGACATTCTGCTCGTTTGTCATTAGACAATTATGTAGGTGAAGGTCGCATCTTAGGGGAGTGCTTGTCTCTTGAATGTCTCTGATCCTTGGAGGTTCGATGATCTCCCTTTGGACACCACCTTTGTAGTGTGTCAATCCTTAGGAGTCTGTATGTCCTCCGAGGTTCGGTTTGACGAGGTTTGGATGTAGGTTGCTTGCCTGAAGATGTTCGGTTTCATCTCGACTGTCGCACCTTGGGAGTACAGCAATGTTTGGCGGTTTGACGAGGTTCGGGGAGGTTCTGAGGTTCAAGGTTCAGAATTCTGAGGCACCTTCAAAGGTCGGTGATCTGGTGAATCATCTCAGTGTTTCGAGGTGTGTCGAGAGTGAGAAGTCCATTAGTGCTGATCTGGATGCCGATCCCTTGATGGTTGCACCTAATAAAGTGACTGTCAATGCCAGTCACACAGAAGAGTGATGCAATGTTGTATGTCGAATCTCCTGGGACAAATGTCTTGTGAACCCTCTCGGGAATGGGAGATTCGTAAGCCCTGATCCAATGAATCGTTATACAACTCCATATGGTGGTCTTGAGAGGATCAATCCTGTGGAGGTTGTGGTAATGATCTCGAATGACAGAAAAGACTCGTAGGGTTGGCAGAGGTATTAGTACTATGGCTACCTTCCGAAGGTATAACAGGGGTGAGCTCCATGTTAGTCGTAGAACACGACAAAACGACAGTACCATCCTCCGCACAGCATGTAAGCCGATCATCTACACTTTAGAGAGTACTCGTCATATGTCCGTGTCTAGGGCTGTCGTGGGTTGGTTTGGTTCGTCTGTGAGAAAGGAATCAGATACTCCCTCCTAGTCTGACGAAATCATGGGACCAGTGGGATCCCTAGCATCCCACATCGGCATGAAGTGCAAACTGGTCGCTGTGTGGACTGCTCGTCCATGGAGATCAACATGTAGCCCAAACAAGGATAAAAGTGAAGATCTAATAAAAACGGGGGTGAGCAAAGTGCGAGATAGGATAAATTTTAAAATATAACACTATAATGAAGTCAGACCTGAGTATTGCTTCCCTGTAGAGACAAACTATATCATATAAATGAAAGCATTTCGTAAACTGAACTAACTGCTGCAAAATAAGGATCTACATCAACAGAGCCCGATGTTCATAGACAAGTGAGTGACAAAACCTACTTTCATCTCGATGTCGTCCTGCTTTATTTCTTCTACACCTGTCTCAGACTCTTGTCCCTCTTCCTCCTCATCATCCGAGATCAGCTTCTTCTTCCTCTTGGCAGGACTGTCTATTTTGGGACTCTGTGAGACACTCTTCCTCTTCACAGCACTTCCCCCACCCATGCTCTTCCTTGCTGAAATAATCAAACTCTAGGTGGTCCAAATTTCAGCCATCAAGTAAAGAAAGTATGGATGTTAGGAGGCTACATTAAACACAAAATACCTCTTGATGAGGTCAATACACGAATACACTGACCCAACCCCTGAGGTTGTATGACACAGGAGGGTCCAATTTGGTGAAGAGTAATCATATGTTCCGTTATACTGAAATTCACTTTAAAGTTTATAAAACCTTTAAACTCCTCTGTTTCATTACAGTAACCTGCGAACTGTGAAATGTTACCACCAGGCGCCATCTTGCTTTCATGTGACCGGTCAATACATGTGACAAGTCAATGACACCATGACAACATGAATCCATTCTTAGCGCTAAACACAACAAGTGTCAGCTTCATCCAAACATCCATAAACAGGCCACACCATAAGAGAGAACTTCCAGATGCGGTCTGCAACTTTAGCCACTAGTCCGAAGCCAGAGTATAGTCAAATTATTTTCGGTCAAGGCTAAGAAATTAAGTCCATATAATAACACTAAATCTTACTGAAAGTGATGCTGAAAGTAAAGTTGAGGCAAATAGTGAGCTAAAATAGTGAAATCTAATTGCATAAATTTGCCATTTAGTCCCATTCTATTTCGTAACAAAAGAGAAAAGACATATCACTCCCACACTACAGTTCGAGAACATTAACAAGTATTCAGTTATGTAAAACAGAAATGTTATAGTAATTTGAATCTGAAATGAACTACCACCTGCACATCGACAGATTAATCAAACCCAACCTGATTTCAGAACACTGGAAGTCTATCATCATATACCTGTTTTCCTTTTAGGAATTCCACATGGAGATTTGACAGGTGTGCTTGGCTCCGAGGGAGAGGATTGGGATGACACACCTGAATCCTTTCCTTCCTGGTGGAGAAGGGTAAAAAGACAAATTAGTATACAGGACTTCACATGATACAGGAATACTGGGTTTTTGATGCGATTGCATCTGTCCTATTTGATGCAAATTATGTTCACAGCAAGCACCGGTTCCATGGACTGGAACAGAATTTTTTGTATCTTTCCATTTTAAGATGTTTCATTCCATCGAATGTTCATGATTCTTTTTGTTTTATCAATACCTCTATTAAGGCCGAATGCTGATCTCCTGCACAACTCCTGCACCAAATTGTGCTCATGACTCTCAAACAAATATGATTCCAAGTTTTCATATGCTCTGTGAAACCCTGGATCATTCTTACATAAACCTTCATCAACACATCAGTAGTATATGGCAAACATTCACAAGTGATAACTAGACAAAGGGCTTATAATGATATAATTAGTTACGTGTGAAAGTACCCTGACAGTTTGGATTGTTGCTCATACTATCGACCACAGGTTTGCCTGACCCAGACTCGAATAACTGCTGGAACTGTTGACAGTGTAAGGCTACATTCACGCCCAGGATCAGTTCTGAGGTGAGGTAAGGTGAAATGGGGTTTAATGGGGTTTAATGTCGTGTCCAAGATTATTGCACTTTTATAGCGACATGCATGCATGTGTGTGTGTGGCTGATGCCGATTTATAGTGCTAGCCCACTGAGATACCATGCTGCAGTTTAACATGAATACCCCACTCAGACACAGTATACTGACTCTGAGCCGACCAGTCCTTGTTTTAGCCCCTTAAGTGCCGAGCAGGGTAACAACAAGTACCATCTTTTAACTTTTGGTATGATAAAGATGGGGATTGAACCCGGACCTTCCGCTCTCCGGGCGGACGCTCTACCACTCGACCATGGAAGCAGTTAAATCAGTTCTGAGATTCAACTACATACAGCATTCTAATATTCACTGTCACATCCCTATAATTAGGCTCACTAAAGGACAAATCAGTTCAACACAAACTAACCTCAGGTCCCTTGCGATTGCTAATCAAAATACTAAATATTTGTCTTCAATGATGACTTCATGACACTAGTGATTTTGAGGAAGCGAGTGCATGTCGTTTGACGCTGCAGTCAGCAATAATCCATACAAACAAGCAAGTTAATCAGATCTTTAACTATGCTAAGTAATATTTACAGACACAGATAGTTAAACTTACTGGTTTATCTTTGTGTGGTGTCTTAATCACAGTCGTCATTGGCTTCTCTTCCTTAGATTTCTCTTGACTAGATTTGACATCTGGATTATCTCCCTTGCCTTCATCTGTTTCCTCCATCACAACATCTACATTCTCTTCTTCATCATCGCTCTCAATGATTCTGGCCTTCTTCTTTCGAGATGGAGCCTTGATAGGAGAGTCGCTTTCTTTTGATGGAGATCCATTTTTAACCTTAAGTGGTGATTTGTCTTCTTTTCTAAAACAGAAAATCAGCGTTCCCATTTACCAGTAATTACCAGGTTTTTTTGTAAAATTTGTCTTGAACCCATGTGATTGCCAGTCCCTATGGACCGACAAATAATGTACCTTATAAATCATTCTTGTTGACCAAAACATTGGCAATAATCAATAAATGATTATTTTTTTAACGATTTACCGGTCTTTTTAAAGATGAAGGAAATAGTATTTCGCTGTGCTTCGAGGTTGAATATCTATTTGTAGTGACTTTATAATAGTCTTGAACCAAAGAGAAATATTAAAAAAAGAAAGAGAAAATTGTGATGAACTTTGTACATGTACATCTAAGTAACTTCAGAGATGACATCAAGAATTAAACCAGGCAATTTTCATACATTTATTTATTTATTTGTTTAAAGCTGAGAGTGACAAAAATTGTGAGGGGCTGGTATTCTTAAAAGTTACCAGTCCACTGGGACTGGCAGTTTCAAAAGCCAACTGGAACACTGAAAATTAATATTCATTCTCACATTAAGTTCATCTGCTGTGATCAAATTAATGAGCAAGTAGTGTTTAACACCGTTTTAACAGTATTTAAGTTTTTTCATGGCGTGTTAGATCAATGTGGGAGAAAAGCTTGATGTCATGCAGGTCTTAAACAATTACCACTTCATTGAAACCCATGAGCACGGATAAGGTGTTGACAGATTAAACAAGAATCAACAGGAGATAACATATGGCCTGGGTTTGGTGCAATTCGGAAATGGAATTTGGCTACTTATACCCCGCTTTTGCTCCGAAGTTCATACAGTTTGGCCCTCACTCTATGAAGGTTCATACTCCAATGAACTCACACAAAGTGAAGGTCAATTCTTAATTGAATGTTACAAAAGTTGGAGTGTCCATGCTTTTAGAGGTCAACATAAATACAAATATCAAAATAATTTAGGTGTTCTTAATTGTTATCTGGATACAGTACATAAAGACATATATATGTTCAAAACATAATTTAAACCAAAGACAAAAAAAATTAACGCAAAATAATATTTTTAAAAAAACAATACATACTGTACATTTTCTGACAATGCAACATCTAAAACTTTTATTCAGTACGAAGCTGCCGTGTGTTTCTAGACTTTCAGTATGTTTAACTTTCATATATCTAGATTGAATTTCATTAGAAATTGTTCATGTTGCAGTTAGCTGGAGGTCAAACAAAAGAAATGACTAGAAATAAACCATGGATAGTGGGAAGCCAAGACAGTGTCAGACTTCCAAAAACAACCCTCCAGGATGGCGGACAAGGTGCAATTGCTGTGGAAGGCCATGGTAGAGGCGATGGCTCTAGTCTCATGTGGACGGGACGTCACAGGAGGCAATCCAGCAAAGGCATTGGCCTGAAGGATAGTCTAGCAAAGCCGAAGGAGACTGTGGTATGAGAGACTTCCATGGAGGCTGCCATGGAAAATGGGATGAAGAGTCTCTTGCAGGCACGTCAATGTGGCGTCGTTGCCGAGAGATGCAGAGAGATCCAGGCTAAAGGAGATGTCTTGAAGGTCATCTGGATTCAAGACGGACACCAACGACAGGATGTTAAACAACCAGTTTGGCTATCCTTGAAGCTGATTCTTCCCACTGAAGTCGTAGATAGATTCTCTGAAACTGGATCCAGTTAACAACAAGAGCGTGGATCTCACTCACTCTAGTAGCAGTTGCAAGGGTCAGGGGAACTACCGTCTTAAAGGTCTCAGTAAATGATTCATACTCAAGCAGAGGACAGATGGCGGAGAATGACATACAGATCACAAAAGGCAGACTGGAAACAATCTGACTTGTCAGCCATTTTGTAGGACAGAATGAGGAACTGTAACTGCTCAGCAACCGTGGAGACCTTAGATCATCGTAGTGGCAATGATGCAGCGAGATACGTAGCCAAAGTAGAGCCCTTAAGCTTCTGAGTTGATCTCGTATACTGCAGGTGCTCAGTGACCTGTTGAGGAGAAACAGACGACAGTTTGGTGTTGTCCAAGCTCGACAGTTAACTTTGAATGCCTTCAATTTATGGTCATAGAAGGCCTTGGTGGAGGTACAATGAGCCTAGGTGATGATCTTGGCTGCTTTCTTCAAATACCCTTTGGCGTCAAGTGACTTATGGAGATGATGTAGGGTTTCGCGCGACGGATGTAGTAGGTGGGAGTGAGGCTGGAGGAGAAGATCGTCCCAAAGAGGAAGATGGTGGAACTTTCTTTCTGCAATGTTTACCAGTTCTGTGTATCAACTTTGTACTGGCTAGTACGGCACGACCAAAAGTAGTCAAAGTTGGTTGGTTGGACACGTGGTAGAAGGCAGGTCGGGGGAAAGGTTTAGGCGTTGAGGTACCCCCAACAAGATGGCAAGAGCGTTGTAGACCCATACCTGAGGATCTGGGATGGGACAGACAAATATTTGGAGCTGAGCGTCGAACCTGGTGTCTATATTCACCAATCAACAAATATTATACTCGGGATTACACTTTCTTTGTAAGTACAAATTCTTGTAGGATTTCTTTGGTTTGAGTCTATTCTGGGATACAAACCTACACTCTCAGAGTGAGGCACCGAATCACCAGCACACTTAGTCAGCGATCTAACCCACTCATCCACTGAGGCTTCTTCAAAAAATGAAAGTCCGTATCTTGTGTACCCAAATACTACTGAAAATGCAGCGCTTGGCTCGCATTAGGTCAGTCTGTTCCAACATAATGGATTTTTGTGTACAAAAGCAGAGAAATCTTGGCATGTGATATGCAAATCACCCTTGCACGAGAACAGCAAATACTGCAGTCTTGCCTTACAGAAGGTCAAAAGCTTCAGACCAGAGACCATATAATAGAGGGACGGCCCTCACCAACAGTTTATCATAAACCATCAGCGCTACGGTCTGGCATGTAACTGATACACCCCGACACCCTGCTGTTAACCTCCCTGTACCGCTGCAGATGCGCAATAGATGCACAGACATTCACGGCTGACCATTCTGGTAACCACGTAAACAATATTACATAATATCCAGGGTAAGAGTTAATTCCCTTAGCCGAGATTTCTCCGACTGCGACCAGCGACAATAAAAAAAAAGGACGTCTCTTAGCGGATTACAAAGATTTTTTTATGATATCTCTCATTAGCACATGTCAGTTGGCTGCAAATTATTTGCTGAACATGTGTGTCTTCCGGGACATTTATTTCAATTTACATTCGCCACAGCCATGGACGACTTCATTCACTGGGACGTTTTCGTCTTGGACCTAGATATACCACTTGAAGAATTCCCACTCTTCGACCAGGGGTTGGTTTCGGATGACTCTTGGTCTAAATAGAATGACAGTGATGTTACTGCTACCAAGCCGTTGGTAAATACCTCCCAAAAGGTTTCACTCAAAGAAAAAGATAGGAAATGAAAATATGACTTCTGTCCACAAGCGTAAGTTTTCGAGGGCGTGGTAGGGAAATGCCGTTCCGATATCAAAAGTATTTTCTAATGTATTCTGTTTGTTTTAAAAATCAGTTAATATATCTCATTTTATGCTGCAATTGTTAACTATTATAAATAAAAAAATATACCAACTACGATCCGGTAAATTGCACAGGAACTCAGGAAGTGTAAATAAAACTCATCCAGAAGCAAGGAAGACACTTGTAACATATCACCATATTCCCGATGTTCACAAAATATATCTCCAGTTTAACTTCATATCTTATAATAAGTCCAGACTAGATTTACTTGCAAAAATGCATGATCACCGACTGGTGTAAATGCTTTACTATTAGCCAGAAACAAATGACGCCATATTAATGTATTTATTTCATGTAAATTCGCTACTATTTTGTAATGCTAATAGTTCCAATGAATTAAAAATACACATTAAACTATGAGCGTTGTTCAATGAATTTTCGATGTGTTCGACAATGTGCTTCGAAGGAATCAAACGTTATTGGTTAATGCCAGTTTGGGGCTAGCAGTGATAATGGGGTTTGCCGGAGCGAGATAAGTTTTTTTCAAAGGGAGGCTACTGTTAAATTCCAAAGCAAAGAGGACGATTGTAATTTTACAATCGTTATTTAATATTACCCGATTAGTTTGATATTTCAGCATACAAATAATAAGGTATTTCAGGTAACAATATAGCTTCAACGGGCATGGTACCAGATATATACTAGTATATGTAAACTGTAGTAACGTTTGTAGTTTTCAAAATTGTTTCATCATAGTTTTCTATTTATATCTGATCAATGAAAAACAAACTTTAAACTCTAACCTTGAACGAGGCATGCAACTATTACTATTAAAACAAAACAAAACATCACAAACTCTGACATATGTAAATGTATTTTTCATAGAAAAGGACAATAGACCATCTATTTATTTTACTGAATGACACTTTCGACCTTGTTGTCTCGAACTTCTCTCCCGACGACTGCCGATATAATCCTTCTTCTATCTTGGCATTTACAAAGCAAATGATAATTTTATAATTCAAATATTTCATGTAACGGATTTTTATTTTTGTATGATGTTTTCATTGTTGTGTAAATACATAAAGTAAGTAGTACCTTCATCATATTTACATTATTATGATTGGGTTCAGGCCCATATCATATAGCTCATAATCAATATTTACACGGCATAAAATAAATAATTGATTAAATGTTGTCATGATTAATACAGACAAAATCTACAGAAGATAACAAATATGTAGTATTGTAGTATGTAGTATATGCGTGATATGTGATAGAAGCCTAACTGAAACAAAGTTAAACTTACGAAGATTTTGCGAAATCAATGGTAAAAAAAAATGCGTCTTACAAAAACAATTCTAATATCATACAACATAAGTCACTTTGTAGAATGTTTCAAACGATATATGTGGTTGATAATCACAGAAAAAATGCATGTTATGTCGTGTGCTATATGGTAATTTAACTTAAAATATGTGACGTAAAATATGGCCTTGCGCCAAAAATCATACAAAAAAACCTACCG